GCAATGTCATATCTGAGTATCAGTGCAGTGGTACAAATACCAGTAAAGTGGTAATTAATGTGGTGTATTTAATGCTTACTTTGTATTTAATAACAGAACATTTATTATGTTTACTTTTATTAATACTTGACAATAATTAATGAAAAATTGACCAATTAAAAGGGTGTCAAAAAACCAACCCTTAAGGAGTTAGCATGCTAACCCGTTCCCTCCTTTCCTCTTCACTACCTCCCACTCGAAATCCTAGTTTTAACTCTCCCTACTCCTAATCCTCCATCGTTTTCAGAATTAACCTGGAGAATAGACCTTAATTAATCGATCATTAGCATTAGATCAACTGAGGAATAATGGAAACAGTCCATTGTAATTTTTTTATAAAATGATAATTAAGCCGGAATCAATTTACTGTTTACATATAAGCCTGAATCAATTCATGACCTCCTACACAATAAACACTGAATTCAAGCCCTAAAACAACGTTATTTGCTACTTTCCGCCATTGATGAACTCAACAATCTTGGTATTCATGGAGAGCGCATTGTCACAAGTACTCTTCTGCAAGTGGAACACATGGTCTTCTTCCTTCACTTCCCAAAACTCAACTTCCCCGCCCCACCCGGTCTTCTTCTTCAGCGCCTCGTAGTACTCTTTCCCTCTCTCCTTGAGTATATCCCTCTCCGCCACAACCACCAGCACCCTGCCACACCCGAGCTTCTCCAGGTTCGGGTCGAACACCGGGTTGATCCACGGGTCGTCGCACCCGCTCGTCTTCGGGCAAGCGAAGTACCAGATCCCGTCCACCGTCTTCCTCCTCTCCGCCTCGACCGGCTCTCCCCCAATCGGCTCCTTCCCCCAGAAATAGGGGTGGATCAACACCATCCCCAGCGACATTTCGTCGAACACCTTGCCTTCAATGTTCCGTATCGCCATCTGGTGCGCGATGTTCGCCCCGGCGCTGTCCCCTGCCAGTATCACGCGGCCGAAATCGGCGTGCGAGTTCAGCCACTCCTCGGAGCCGCTCCCGCCGGAGTGGGACGCGATCCACTGCAGCGCGGCCCACGAATCGTCGTAGCCGACCGGCAGGGGATGCTCTGGCGCCAGCCTGTAGTCGACCGAGACGGCGATTGCGTTGGCCTGGGCCGATAGGGTGTTGACGTATTCGTGGTACTTGAGGGTGAAGGGGGTCTCGATGCAGAAGCCGCCGCCGTGGTAGTAGACGATCACCGGCAGCTTCTGATTGGGCTTGACGCCGTCGGGGACGTAGAGGCGGGAGACGAGGTTGTGGTCGGGGGAAAAGACGACGTCCTTGGATCGGACCTTGGTTTTGGCGTCGAGTGATGCAGGGGTGACGTCGGTGCCCATGAGCCGCTCGACCCGGCCCGTTTTGTAGATCCGGAGGAAGGGGGAGTAGTCGTGAGCGACGTCGTCTTGCGGCGGCGCGGAGGTGTCCATTGTGCAGCGGAGGGAGAAACGGCGGTGGCGCGGAGAAGGGAGGAGGACGGTGGTGGTGGCGAAAGGGCGGAGGCGGTGGTGGGTGAAGAGGAGGGGAGTGGAAGGAGGAGAAGGGATAAGGAGACGCATGTGAGAGTTTGTGGCAACAGTAGAATGGGCGACGGGGTACATGGTTGCTATTAAAAGGAGATTAATGTGGCTAGGATTATATAGATGTCTGGTGATTATTGTCCAAGTATCAGCCTTGGAATATGATTTGGTTGAATTGGGTTTGTTGTTGTTGCTGTGGTTCTCACTTCTCAAATCCCACTTTTTATGGATGATAAATTAAATCACTATTGGTATCCAATAAAGTTTGATTCAATTTGGTTGGGAATTAAGTTTGATTCAATTTGGTGGGTGAAAAATTCTACTGGGTATTGTTTTGTATAAGTTTTTTCTAATCCGATCCTTCAAAGAGTGTAAAGAGTTTAGTGCGATTTTAATATTTCAAGTATTTTTACCCAACTCACCTGTATATGTGTCACAATGACAACTATGATTTAGACTCAATCATTTCAACACTTCAATCATCCATATCACTCAAGTATTAGAGAGCCGATCAGGTATATAACCTTGTGAATTGTGATCAATAACCCATTCATAACCTGCTACATCACTCACATCACCATATATGAAACCCCCCTAAACATTTCTCGTATAAATTCAAGGGCTATATCTCTTTTGTCTTAAGTGGAAATTATAATTTTTTGCACTCATAAATCAGATAAATTGTGCACTTCAAAATAATATTCTTTTGATATATTTTCTAAACAAAAAAGTTCAAACATTTATTACCCGTTTATACTAGTATTATACATTTCTGAAGGATTGATGTAATTTGTAGCTAACGGACAAAATTGTTTTAATTTGAGTCCACGTCAACTCATTGCATGGCTACAAACATGGTATTGGAGTTGGAGGAATAGTCGTGGTCACTGCGTACCACGTTTCAATTCAGCCTTTCATTCAGCTTTGAGTAAAGACGAGGGTGCAGTTCATGCAGCACGCCTAATGGCTAATTGCACAGCGTCCACACAAACACAGATGGTCCCGTGCGAAATTCCAATCCACTACTCTACGGCGACTAGGGATGGCAATAAAACCCGAACCCATGGGTACCCACCCGACCCAATCCGGTCAACGCGGGTAAAATCCGTGTTGACGGGTTTTGGGCCGGGTTTGAGTTTAAACCCGTTCACTATTTACTGGGTTGGTTGGGTTTAGGTAAACCTGGCCCATGGATACCCGCCCACACCCATATAATTAATTTTCTCGGCATATTTAATATTCTAAACAACTAATCTTATTTATATTTGTGAAGACATGTCTAATTTTTTCTTTCTAGTTGTGTATAATGAATTTGATTTTATCGAGTGGAGATTGAAAAACTTAATTGAAAGGAAGAAGCTTTCAATCAATCATATTATTTATGGATAATTTGTGATTTGCTTCGATTTTCTTGAGTTTTGTAGATTGGTGTTGAACAATTTGTATAGTTAATTTGTGATTTGCTTGAATTTTCTAGAATGGTGTTTTATATATGGATAATTTGTATTGAGAGATTGATATTTGACATTAATTTTGATAGGAACTTGTTATTGTTAATTTTTTACAACAAAAACCAATGGGTACCCATGAACCCGCGGATACCCAGCGGGTTGGGTTGGGTTTGAGTTTTTCAAACCCAGTGGGTTTTACCCCGGATTTTTTTCACGGATAAACCCATGGGTTTGGGTTTGACAAAACCCGACCCAACCCGACCCATTGCCACCCTAACGGCGACTCATGAAATTTCGACATTATAGTACTGTCGATGCCTGATATTTTGTTCTAATGGGCTAATAACCTAAATTACGCACTGAAATAAATTCGTCATTGAATTTACCAAAACAATTACTTGAGCTTCTCGGTTATTAACAAACTAGTTTTGTTATAACCATGTATGTATATTACGGGTAATAGAATTTTATATTTTTACATCATTTCAAGCGAATATACGCACTTCTTTTATGGGTGGCCAACGGGAAACGAGTATTTGAGTATAACATACCCGTTCCTTTTTTTAGGGTTACGGATATCTAACCGTTTTTTCCTTATATGGATTTTAAGATGATTCCATACTCATTTTGTATATGCTTATCTAAATGATACATTTAGTGAATGTACACATTGATTAGAATCTGTCTTTTTTTTGTTCAAAATAAAATACACGCATGTATTCTATCGTTGATGTGACACTTGAAATCATTCATTTTGAATGATTTACAATCTCAAAAAATGAATTTTCTTTCCTTATATATCCCTATAAACTTTTATGTATGGTTGACTTTTATATTTTAAAAGAGAATGGTAAACATGACTTTTCATTCAAAAAGTAATTTTTTCATATTATTCCTAAGATTAAAATAACAACTACCAAAAGTCATAATCTTAAAATAACACATTTAAACAATACATCAATTTATAATGCAAGCATTCATGAAATGCACCAATTCAAACAATGACAAATAACAAAAATTATTCATCAAACTTTTCAAACATACATCTTCTTCTACTTTTCTTGTTACTTTGTCAAAGACTCTATAGGCTTGTCATTTATTGAATATCCCACAAAACTACATGGATAAGATTTTTGAATCAAAATTTCCTCTATTATCTTTTGAAAGGCAAAACATTTGCATCCGAAAAAATGAAAATTGTGTAGAGTAGGTGTGGTAGGGTGCTGTCATGGACCAACTCTTGGTTGTTCGGCACTTACCACTCAAGTCTCGTTAGAGCATTAAGTCAGCCTAGCTCGCATTCACTGAAGCTCACAAGTTGGGAGAAAACTCTAGAGATGGAAACTCCAAATTTCTGGATGAATGAAAAATGAGGGAGAGGGATGCTTATATTGACATCCTCTCCACAAGGTACAATGTATGTAGGCCGTTATAAATGAACGAACCTAGAAGTTCCCCCATACATGAATTAGCCCCATACATGAATGATAATTAATATGGTGGATGTATGTTCACCTATACATGAATCATAATAAATAGGGAGGATGCATGTGCATGAATGCGTGAATCTAGAGATACATGCATGCACCTACATCCTTCTAGAGCATTATAGAATTTCCTCCGTGATAGTGCCCAGTGTATATAAGTTCACATTAGTGCACAAAGAAGCCATGTGTGTTCGAAGACACCGGTTTCAAAGTTGCTTAGCTAGGAACCACCACCAAAGGGACGGTCTCTGTTGATTGAAAGTCGATCAATGGTCTCAAGTGGTTTAGAACAAGAGAATCAGCGCAAGTACAAATTCAAGATGCAGAATGAACGAAAAGAATCAAGGTGAAAGGCTGGCAGATTATTTGAGACACTTACTGTTGAAGGCACCAGACGGTCGACTCGGGTTCCTAAACCCAATCTAAAGTACCAACCGAGTTGAGTATTTAAGTTCAGTTGTATTTTGGGAAAAGATTTATGAAAGAAATTGATAATAAACTTCCCAAATCCCGACCCATCTCAAACCCTACTCTCTTTGTACGTTCTCTCTTCCCCGATCTCGACTCCCTTCTTCCCTTGATCCTCCTTCAACTCTCTATACCTACAACAAATTGGTATCATAGCCTTCCTGAACTCATCATAGTTCGCGATGGAGGCTGCGCTACAGGACTTCAGTGAGTTTTGCCTACAATTGACGTGTGACACGACAGCTGCCAACGCTGCCTGCGCGATGACCACAAAAAAGGTTCCAGCTACTATCACCGAGGCGGCGACTGGAAAGCCCGGCCTGGGGTTGGACGTTTTCAAGGCCATTTCATGCTACGCCCTCAACGGTTCACCCGCACCTGAGACAATGCGGTTCCGAGGGACAGTGGATGGCAGCATCGCTCTCACTTTGGTCAATAGTGGGTCTTCTCTCAACTTCGTGAGCGAGGAGTTGCGGCTACATTGGAGGGGAAACCGATCGACATCCAGCCATTCACCGTCAAGTCGCCAATGTCCAAGCTCTCTGTTGCACTCGCCATCTTTGAGATGTTGTCTTGAATATTTAAGGTTTGGCAATCTCTATGAACCTATTTGTACTGTCGATTCGCGGTTTGGATGTTGTGCTATGGATTCCATGGTTGAAGAGCCTCTGTCCAGTCACCTCCGAATGAAATCGACTCACCATGAAGTTCCGATGGAAGGAGGAGTGGGTCTTGCAAGGGATCTTGACCATTTCGGGTCGATAGCCTGTGGCGGGAGGACGAGGTGGTCTTCTCGGCGCTGAGTGTGACGATGGGCGCCGAGCAGCCCCAAGGCAAGTTGGCTCTGGAGATACAGGAGCTTTTGGAGTCCTATGTCGATCTGTTTGAGAAACCAGCAGGGCTCCCCCCTCGTCGACCGGTGGACCATCGAATTCAGTTGAAGGAAGAGATCAAGGTGGTAAATGTGCGGCCGTTTCGGTATGCACATTTCCAAAAGGTAGAGATCGAGAAGTAGGTTGCGGAGATGCTGGATACCAGATTGGTGAGGCTGAGCACTAGTCCGCTCTCGTTGCCTGTGTTGTTAATGCGGAAGAAGGACGGGACGTGGCACTTTTGTAGGGATTATCGAGCCCCGAACGCTGTGACAGTCAAGGATCAGTTTCCTATTCCGACGGTGGAGGATATGTTAGATGGGTTACATGGGTCGTTGTATTTCACTAAGTTGGACTTTCAGGCTGGCTACCACCAAATCCAAATGGAGGAGACTGATGTGCATAAGACGACGTTTCGCACACATAACGGGCATTATGAGTATTTGGTGATGCCATTTTGGCTGTGTAATGCCCCGTCCACATTCCAGGAAGAGATGAACGACATTTTCAGGCATGTTTTGCGAAAGCACGTTCTAGTTTTCTTTGACGATATTCTAGTTTACATTAAGAGCTGGGTGGGTCATCTATCACATCTCATGGGAGTATTTGACATCTTACGACGGGAAGGATACTACGTGAAGGCTTCAATGGGCTTTTGGGGTGCAGGAGATCGAGTACCTTGGCCATGTTATATCGAATGAAAGGGTGAAGGTTGATTCGACCAAGATACAATCCATGCTTGATGGGCCGTAGCCATCCAATGTGACCAAACTCCTACAATTTTTTTTGGGGCTGACCGGGTACTATAGAAAGTTTGTTCAAAACTATGGCTCCATCGCAAGACCGTTGACCAACTCATTACGCAAGGGATTGTTTGAGTGGACGACGGAGGCGGATGCAACATTCCGCGACTTTCAGAGGGCCATGACGTGCACGCCCACGCTAGCGATGCCCGATTTCTCTATTCCCTTCGTCACAGAGGCTGACGCGTCAGGCAGGGGGATTGGGGAGGTTTTATCACAGAACTGCCACCCTATCGCTTATATGAGTCGCACGTTGTCACCAGCAAAGGAAACCTGGTCTACGTACCAAAAGGAGATGCTAGCAGTTGTCATGGCAGTCCAGACGTGGCGGCCTTATCTACCGGGGAAAAAGTTTCACATTTACACCGACTACCAGAGTTTGAAGCAGCTTTTGGATCAATGGATTTCGACACCAGATCAACACAAATGGCTTTCTAAGCTTCTCGGGTATGACTACGAAGTCCACTATAAACTAGGACTGGCGAATTTGGTTGCAGATGGTCTTTCCCGGAGCATGGGTGGCGCGCTCCTGTCTCTCGTTTTCTTGGCAGGTCAGTAACTTTTGGGACGAGGTACGACATTTTGTCTTAGAAAATGAGTGTCTCTAAGAGTGCAAGGAGGTGGCCTTGTCACCGGATCCAGGCGTGTACACTTTCCGCCACAGGCTGGTGTTCTTCCGCCTCACTCGTCTCTGTTCATGACTGTATTACAGGAGTTTCACGACTCTTCTGCAGGCGGCCATTTAGGAGCAGTACGTACTCTGCTGCGAGTTAGTGGGCATTTTTACTGGCCTTGAATGGTCAACTTGGTGCGAGATTGCAGGAACACGAAGGAAGAGTTTGGTGAAGGAAGGAAGAAGAGTTCGAGCCTTGTCAAACGACAGTGTTTTCCTTCTTTTTAATCAATCCGCAGGCCAACAAAGTGGGCTTCGCTACAAGAATGCAATAAAGCCCATTTCTTCCATCACAAACTCTCAAAAACAAAATCATTCTTATTACATACTTTGTTTTACAATCAAACTGACCTAATTTACTATCATATGTTTTATCTAGTTTCGAGTTCTAGGGTTACGACAGGAAAGGAATAACATTTCCAAAAAGAGATCAAAAGAGAGACAAATGGTGAAGGAATCTCGCGCTCGATTCCACCAACACGTGGTACCAGAGCCCCATTGCCGTAGAAAAGGGTTCAACAACCTCTTGCGAGATCCAATATGGCATCCAGCTCTGCCAGAAACGCTCTGCTATATTTAGCAGATGGGTTTTCGCAAAATCGCCCTCAACGCTTTGAAGAGTAAACTATGGCTATTGGAAGAATCATATGGAGTTGTTTGTTGGGTCTACTGATCCAATGTTGTGGGCTAGAGTCATCAAGGGTCCATATGAGCTTAAGGAAGATCAAGATAAATGGTCAGATGAAGATTACGAAAAATTCCAACAAAACTGCAAGGCCACAAATCTGATGTACTGTGCGCTTGGACCAGAGGAGTACCATAAGTTTGTTGGATGCAAGACAACAAAGGAAATTTGGGACTAACTCCAAGTTATATAAAAATGTACCTCTCAGGTTAAAACCTCTCGTATAAATTCTTTGAAGCATCAGTTTGAACTGTTCAAAATGGAAGAAGGAGAATCAATCAGGCAAATGTATGAAAGATTCACAAACACAGTGAACAGTCAAGAAAATTTGGGGAAATCGAATGAGAGTGGTGATCTAGTAAGGAAGATTCTTTGGTGTTTACCTAAGAAATGGACTTCCAAAGTCACGGCTATTGAAGAAGCAAAGGATTTGAAGAAGCTTGTCATTGATGAGCTAATTGGATCATTGGCAACTCATGAGGACAAATTTAAAAAGTCTGGGTAGGAGAAGGAAAGCACTGAAAAAGGGAAAAGAGGAGTTGCGTTCAAAGCCATTAGTTCACTAGATGATCCAGAAGAATTGGATAAATGGAGGATGAAGAAATACTTTGTTAAGTAAACAAATTAGCCGACTTCTCAAGATAAGAAAAGATAAGAGACTTGGAGGGCCTGGAATAAAAACCAAGGAATTCAACGATGGCGCTGCCAAGGGATTACAGAGTAAGAATTACACTAGAGCATGAAATGATTCCCGCCATAATCCTAAGGGTGTAAATGCATCTGGCTACTTCAAGTGTGGCAGAACCGGGTACATCACGGCAGAATGTCCACAGTTGAAGAAAGAATGTGCATAGGGAAGATGATGACGAAGTGACAGTACACAAATCCTACATGGCAATTGCAAACAAGGTGGAAGAAGATTCATCACCAGCTATTGACTTTAATCAAGTAAGTACCTCTGGCAACTTACTTGACTCAGAATACTAAAGCGATGATGATTTGCTAGTGGAAACTACCAGGGATATTCAGATAGAATTTGGAAATGTTAAAACTAAATATCACAAACTTAAGAAAGAAAATGAGACTGATCTGAATAGGATAACTGAATTAGAGTCTAAATTGGCAGCTAGTGAATCAAGTGCAAAAGAAATAAGAAACAAGTTGCTTAACTTGGAAGTGGAAAAAGAAAAGTTTCAACCTGAGAATGTGCATCTTCAACAGGAGTGAAAACTTAGTCAAGCAAACTCCAGTACTAACAGGAAATATAATTCTTGTTCTAAATCAAAAGCAACTGACTTAAGATGCTACTATTGTCACAAAACTGGTCATATAATTAGAACTTGCTGGAAAAGGCTTAGGTCAGAAACTAGAAATAATTTGTGTGGGTCATCATCTCATGGTAGTAGTAGGAACATGTTTAAACTATAAAAAATCCAAGAAGATTTGGGTTCCCAAAACAAAATGAATTGTGTGCTTGCAGTGTTGTCTTCAAGTAGGCATGGAAACAACCAAATGGATAATGGACAGCGGTTGCTCCACTACATGACGGGAACATGTATCTATTTTCTTCTCTTACTTTAGGAAACTTTGGTAAATTATATTTCGAAGACAACTAGCATTATAGGTAAGGGTCAGGTTGGAAAAAGTCCTTCCATACAGAATGTGATGCTAGTTAATGGTTTAAAGCATAATCTTATGTCTATCAGCCAAATGTGTGCTAAAGGGTGTCGTGTAATTTTTGAACCTAGTTGTTGCTACGTTGAAAACATAAAAATAAACAGATTTTGTACACAAGGAAACGTAATGGGAAGATCTACACACTAGATTTAAATGATAAGGATAGTTTTAATGAAAGCTGTTTAGTGAGTCTGGATAAGAGTGAACAGGAGGAATGACACATGCGTTTTGGTCACGTAAATGTAAGAACTCTGTCAAAACTTGTTCATCTTGAACTAGTCAAGGTTATCCCTCAAATCAATGTGAAAAGAGATTTATTTTGTGATGCTTGCATAAAGGGAAGCATACCAGGTCTAGTTTTAAGAGTAAATATGTCATTTCCACGACCAGATCCTTAGAACTACTTCATCTAGATCTTTTTGATCCAACCAATGTAGTGAGCTATGGAGGGAAGTCGTATGCTTTTGTGATTGTCGATGATCTCTCAAGGTTCACATGGGTACTGTTTTTGGCTAAAAAGGATATTTTTTATCCAACCAATGAAGCGTTTCAAAAGTTTAAAAATCTCGTCAAACGCATTGAGAATGAGAAATTGTCTAAAGTTTGTAGCATTCGAAGTGACCATGGAGGAGAATTCAGTTCTGATCCTTTTGAGCATTTTTGTAATGAACTAGGGATTTCTCACAACTTCTCTGCCCCCAGAACTCCTCAACGGAATGGAGTAGTCGAAAGGAAAAATAAGACCCTCATTGATATTGCTAGAACTATGTTGCATGATTATGGGATTCCTAAGTATTTTTGGGCTGAAGCTATAAACACTTCTTGTTATATTTTAAACCATGCGTTAATCATATATGGAATTAACAAGACTCCTTATGAAATTTGGAAGGGAATAAAACCAAACCTTGGTTACTTCCATCCTTTTGGATGCAAATGCTTTGTGCTCAATACGAAGGATAATCTAGGAAAATTTTACTCGAAATTGAATGAGTATGTCTTTCTAGGATACTCTTCTACTAGTAAGGCATATATGGTGTTTAACAAACGGACCCTCAAGGTTGATGAGTCCGTCAACGTGATATTTGATGAATCTATTATTGAAGCTACAGATGACATGGATGATGATGATTTTGGACTCGGAAGGAGTTCACCTACAAGTGTTAACAATGACACTGGAAGGAATCAAACAGGAGGATCACTCCATGAAGACATGAGCATGTTAATAGATGGAAATGAGCATAACCAGAAGGTCACTGAAGATGTAACTGAACAAAGGGTTGAAGCAACTGGATCACAGCTGCCACCTCACATCAACAAGAGGCATGCTCCGTCTCAAGTTATTGGACCTATAGATCAAGGTATGATCACTCGGTCTAAAGCTATTCCATCTTTTACTTCCTTCGCATCCTTGATCGAACCTAGGAATGTTCAAGAAGCTCTTTTAGATGAATTCTGGATAGCTGTTATGTTTGATGAAATGCACTAATTCGAATGAGCAAATGTGTGGGAGTTAATTCCCAGAATAGAGAATAGAGTAATTGATAATTGTCGAAAACATATTTATCTTGTGTGCTTAATGTGATTATTTCATGATATGTTTTAGACATATAATGCTTGTTTTAAGGTCAATTGATTATGGAATGGTTGAAAAGCCAATACCATCGTGTGTTAAGAGTTTTTGATGAGTTTCAGAACAGTACGAGCAAATTGCTTTAGCACAAGCAAACAATCATGAACATGTTTAGGCTCGAATCACTGGTGGAAGAACAATTGGGCCGCTGGCCCAAATTAAAATACAAGGAATCCAGGAGCACTAGCGGAACCGGGATGGGCCTTTATGCTTGCTAATTGGAAAACGAAATTGAGAAGGTGGAGGGCTGGATGGGGCAAGATTATTGTTGAATTTTTTGGACCAAGTTGGTTGTCCACATCTGAAGATGAAAGGCGGAATTTGAGAAGGGATTTTTTGGGCGGAAGTGAATTTGACAGGGGGCAATTCTTGGATTAAAATGGCCCAAGTCTCATGTCCTTTTGTGGGGAGGATTCTTTGGGCCAAATAATTGGAGATGGATAGCAGCTTGTGGAGCGGGAGTGCAGGACACGAAAGAATTGAAGGGGAGAGGAAATTAATTGGGTAGCTGGGAATTATTTGGGAGGAGGAGCAGCACAGCGCCGCGCGGAGGACTAGCGCAGAGCTCGGAGCAGCAGAGTAGCGATCGGAGCAAGAAGGAATTGGAGCCAAATCGTTCGACAAATTCAGTATTCTTTTCCTTTTGTTTCGATTCGTGACATGATGATTATGAACATGATTGTGTGTTTCATTTTCGTCATGAACTAAACCCCAATTTCTGGGGGAAACACTATAGCATGTAGTTATTTCTATATTTGATGGATTGATTCATATTTCTTTTCTTCCAATCTCTATTACATGGAATTACTGAATGCTTTGTGTTGACTGCCACCAATACATCGATTTGTAGTTAATTAGGTTATTAGCGACAGTGAAACCCTAATAACTGAACATATTTCATGTGACATAGTAACTTATCGAAGAGTGGACTAAATAAGGTGCTATGCGTTCTTAAATAGGATATCGATCTTCAGGCTAAATAATTAAGTCATTGAGCTACGACAGTAGGATTTGATTTAATTGTTTAGTACGTAGTAATTCCCGACAGGGATAGCTAGCACAGTAGTGATATCCTGGCTGTAGAGAGTTGGATTAAATTGATTGGAATATGTGAATTAATTTGGATAAGATAGGTAGCGTGTCCCGGTGTTTCTCCCAGAGCTCTCTCCCATTGATTTTCTCCCGACAACTTTAATTTGCTCGTTTTGTTTAATTGTTAGCTAGTAGTTTCTTCACTAAAACATTTTTCACCTAGTTTGCTCCATAGAATTGATATAATATAAGGTTGTACCAGTCCCTGAGAGACCATACCCGGACTTTCGGTTTACTACAAGATAGGAAATTGGCATATATGCTTTTGCCCTATTAGTAATCATAGGTACAAAATGGATTTATAAAAACAAATCGGATGAGATAGGAATTATAATTAGGAATAAAGTTAGATTAGTTGCTCAAGGGTGCTGTCAGGAGGAAAGTATAGACTTTGATGAAACTTTTGCTACTGTGGCTCGTATAGAAGCTATTCAAATGCTATGTGCTTTCGCTAGCTCAAAATGGTTTAAACACTATCAAATGGATGTAAAAGTTCCTTTCTTAAACATGGATTTGAAAGAAGAAGTCTATGTATCTCAACCCCCTAGGTTTGAAGATCATAGGTTCCCTAATCATGTGTACAAATTAAAAAAGGCTTTATATGTGTTAAAATAGGCTCTCAGGGCTTGGTATGAAAAACTTAGCTCATTTTTTTATGGAAAATGGTTTTCGAAGGGGTGTAGTTGACAAGACTCTCTTCATAAAACAAAATCTGGAACATATCATGCTAGTTCAGGTGTACGTCGATGATATAATCTTTGGTGCTACTTGTGACAGCATGTGTAAGGATTTTGAAACCACAATGAAGGGGGCTTTCGAAATGAGTCTAATGGGGGAATTAAGTTTCTTTTTAGGCCTTCAGATAAAACAAACTCCTCCGGATCCGGAGTTCCTCCATTCCTGATCATCTACTCCAGATAGCCTATGAAAACTCGGACTATTAAACGTCGTCCATATGATAAAACCGATAAACTAGTTAGTCGGTTAACCGCCCACTCGGTACCGGTTGTTGGTAGCTATTTAGGATGTCTTGGTTTATCGTTAACTAGGGATGGAAGTTTGGTACCGGTATTTGGGACGTACCGAATACCGTACTGAATTTATCACTATTGGGTATCACATAATATCGTTTTATTTTTTAGGATTGAAATTTGAGATTCATTTTGGAGTATTATTCGATACTCGAGATTACAAGATTGGAATCGATATTACCTAAATGTCGATCAATACAAAAAAATATTAATAAAATATAGCACGCAACATTCACAACATTTGGTTATTTCTCACTCTTTGACAACTCACAAGCCCCCACACAACCCAATTTTGGATTTCCATTTTAAGTCTCTTTTTTCTCACTCAAGCTCTTGTTATTTTCATAACACTGGAAAACATATGCAGTTTTATTAGTTGTCTCTTAGCCACCAATCCTTCAAATTAAAGATTACCAATGATAAGAAATTGAGATATCACCAGAAGCTCTACTATCATGTCAACAATCAGTTATTTCGGAGGGACAGACACAGATTTGGAAATTGGATGCGGAATTTACTACCACCGCTAGAAAATGGGTATCAACTGTCAAGTGCCATGTTTATCCGCCATAATGCTCTGGTAGTCCCAACTACCAGCATAGTTAGTTAATACTTCGTTTAATACACGTATATGTACCCGTACGTACTTTATCCGTTTAAAAATTTCGTATCCGTATTATTGTCAAGCCGTTTCTCCCCCTCCCCCCTGGTTCATTTGATGGCTTCCGTACTAAACACATAAAACTCGTATAACACGTTTATTATCCGTATTTTACAAATTAAATTGTTAACTTTACTATTATTTATATATTTATTTATTTTTGAAATGATTAATTTTATGTATTTATAACTATTAATGTACTATTAAACGTAACTTTAATTTAGAGACGAAATATAATACAGGTACGTATAAAATACGTAACTTTTCTGCACCATATTTTACTAACTAGGACTACTATACTGCCACCTTCTCCTATTCAATGGTGAAATGACACGCTCTGGAAGGGACACGGTGGGGAGTCCTATTTTAGCTTACAATTTCAGTCCATTTATTTCCTTACTTTCACACTCTCAAGGGTAATGTGCAATTCAATCATTCATTCCAACGGTAGTAGATACGCCTTACCAAATAGCGGTCTGCGGTCATGCTACCACCATCCAATCCATCCATAACATCGACTACCCAACTAACTTAATTAACCCCACAGGCCGGCCGGCTTCAGTCTCCCTCAAATCCAAACACTTCAATTTATCATAGCTTGCTGCCTCCATCTGAACACGAATATGTCATAAGCAACCCGGTAATCGACATAACACTAGTTAATACGGTAAAAGGATCAATGCCGACTACACCCAAACATTTCTAACGACTCGAGCTATTGAAACCAAACACCACCATAGGTAACCATAGAGAATTCACTCTTTTCATTGTATAACGTCGAATATATTAATACACACGGGAACCATGAAAATTCAACACTACTAGTTCTTCCAAAATTACAAACGGGCTGGGAAAACTGAGCAATTAATTGTCACACACCATATAAACTGTAAAAAAAAAAAAAAAAAAAAAAAACAGTGAGAACGCCCCCAAAACACGCGGATTTTCAATTACCTTGCTTCACGAAATCGATGACGGTTTTGATGAGCGGAGCAATGTTCTCGCTCTTGGGGCTGAAAAAATGGAAGCAATGGTCTTCCCCTTTGGTCTCAAAAAAATCAACCGCCCCTTTCCACTCGCTCTTCTTCATCGTCTCCGCGTAGCTCACGCCCCTTCCCCTCAGCCCATCCTTCTCCGCCACGCACACCAAAATCCTCCCAACCTTCAGCTTCGCCAAATCCGGGTCGCCCGCCGGGTGCACCCTCGGGTCGTCCTTCGCGCCCGAGCTCGTCGGGCACATGTACTGGTAAAACCGGTCGGGCTGATCGGTCCCGAAATACGGGTGGACCAGAACCATCCGGGTCAGATTCAAACCCGCGACCCCCTTCGCCCCGGCCTGGACGGCCACGTAGTGGGCAAGATTTGCGCCCGCGCTCTCCCCGGCCAGGACCACGTTCCCCAGATCCGCGTGCTGGTTCAGCCACGGTTCGGGTCCCCGGCCGTCGGCGTGCCGACCGAGCCACTGGAGCCCGGCCCAGCAGTCGTCGTAGGCGGTGGGCAGCTTGTGCTCGGGAGCGAGGCGGTAGTCGACTGAGATGGCGATGACGCCGGACTGGGTGGCGAGGGTGGAGAGGAAGATCTTGAAAGGGGTGGCGAAAGGGGATCCGATGCAGAACCCGCCGCCGTGGTAGTGGAGGAGGACGGGAAGCTTCTTGCCGGCGGGGACCTTGGGGAGGAAGATTCTGGCCTTGACGCAGGCGGGCTCGGGGGAGATGAGGACGTCCTTGGATTCGACTCCGGTTTCGGGATCGAGGCCCGCCGGGGAGTGGTCGGTGTCCCAGTATCTCTCGACGCGGCCGTCTTGGTAGACCTTGAAGAAGCCTGGGAAATCGTGGGCGATCTGGTCGGAAGCCATCGCCGGGGAAAACAGAGGGAGAAATTAAAGCAGGGGGATTTTGGGGGAAGGGATTATTAAGATATGAATGATTGGGTGGGATTTGATAGCGGGGGTTGGCGTAGATATATATATATGTAATGTGGCGGAGGGGACGAGGGGAGGAACTGAATCGAAAATCGAAATCAATTGGGGAGGGGAGGGGTATAGTTGGGGTAGGTGTCCGCTTCATCGGGGGAAAAGAAGAAGGAGAGGAGGGGAGATATTTTTTCATTTAATAATTATGGTTGTGTTGTGTAACAATTTTAGTTTCCGATTTGCTTCCTTCTTAAACGAATCTGTTGTCTGCTAGAAGAAGATTGATTACATTCATTAATGCCCAGTGGCGTAGCCAGATATTGAGTGTACTGGGGTCCTTTAAAATTTACTAACAGTAATGCTTATGTATTTAATGAATTTTGAGTTAACCGGGGTCATTGGTGAGCTAACATCGTTGAGAGTATGGGGTCCTAAACTTGAATTATCGTACTAAAACCTATGTATTTAAAGGGTTTTGTTGCCCAATTGTTTGCCAAGTGGGGTCCTAGGACCCCTCTCCTTTTTACCTCCCTCCGCCACTGTTAATGCCGGATTTACATCTTATTGTTGTCACTTTACTTAAAGTTTAATAGATGGAGTATCCTGATAAGGAAACAGAGGCAAAGAAGAGGAGATATGGGAGAAATTTTACAATGCTATATAGTATTGGTGCTATAAGTTTTTGCCTTTATGGTACAACTTAAAATTGTACATTTACGTTATGGTACAACTTTAGATTGTACCTATACTTTTTGTACATATTCTTTTATGGTACAACTTGAACTTGTACCTTTATGTGATGGTACAACTTCAAGTTGTAAAGTTGTACCATAACATAATGGTATAAATTGCTTTATGGTACAACCTAAACTTATACATTTAATGTTATGGTACAACTTTGAGTTGTACATTAAAGCACCAATGCTATATAGCATAGTAGAAGTGCTCGAGATATGGAGAACCGATTCCTTGTAGAATATGAGATAGCCGCACAATAATATGCTACATGTTCACAATTTTATGTAAATAATAATAATAATAATAATAATAATAATAATAATAATAATAACAAGGGTTAATACTTAATAACATTTTGTACACTTCTATTATGGTAAATTAACAAAGGTACTTCTCTACAAGTTTTTTGCATAAACATACGCATCTAATATTAAAACGTAACAGATTTACTTTTCAATCCAATTATATGTTAAGTGACCGTTAAATGTGCTATAAAATGACCAAATTACCCCTTACTTACTCCTAGATACTCTAAATTTTGAATTTAATTATTTTATATCTCAAATCACATTATTAAAAAATCAAACTCATAAACTAAATCACACATACGCCACCAAAAACCGTCTGTCTCTCTCGATGAGAGGCCCCTCGACTTGGTGGCGGCGCTTACTCCCGGCATCTCCTCACCGACAGCTGGATTATAGAGAATCGGTCGGCTTAAATTGACACGCTTTGACCAAAGGAAATATGAAGGGACGGCTAGGCTTGGAAACGGGCCGGGGAGGGCCTATCCGCCACCCGCCCGAAAGCCATTCGGACTTTCCCCGAATCTGCCCCACTAGCCCTGCCGGACTCATTTTTAGGCCCAACCCCGAATCAATCGGGGTTAATAGGTTTACCCGCTACCACTGTCACCCTGGAAAAAACAACCAAAAAACAAAATACAAAATACAAAGAATGCAGCCTTGAAATTACTTAGAGAAAAATCAAATGGCATGACTCCAATTCCAATTCCAAAATCCAAACGGTCTAAACAAATCAAAAAGTATCAAGGCATCTAAATGATGCATAGTTGCATACAATGCCATCTCAAAATTCAAATATCCAATCGAAACAAACAAGTTCCTAACTTCAATCCAAGCAATGAAACAAAGTAGCAAACCGCCACTCCACCAAAAACATAAAGAAAAACTTAAAGGAAATGAGCCATCAAGGTTGCCTTCATTCTTCAGGGCATCACCTGTAACACCCCAATTTTTGGGTTTAGGTTTGACTTTAATACGTGAATGGTTGGATTAACGGTTACATACTACGAATTACAATTGCGGTTTATGAATAATAACAATAACTACTGTTATATTAGTCGGGCGGCCACTCCCCAGCAAAACCCCCACATAATAATTCCCTTCCCCACCTTTTATTCTCTACAGTAGCCGCACAAAGAAAGAAAAGAAGAAGAAGGGGAAGCGTCGGTTCCCCTAGCCACTTTGCCCGCTGTCCCGACCCCGATCCCGATTTCCCTGACCATTCCTCTCGTGTTCCTAGCGTTGCGGTGAGGTTTAAGGGTTCGATCGTCGATCAACGAAGAGATCAAGGTCTCGGATTATCCAATCTAGTCCTAGGCACGTTATAAAGGTTTCTCCAAGATAATCCGGCTAATGAGGGATTTCTTCTAGGAAGGAATCGAGGAGTCATCATTTCAAGGTGAGTGTAAAGAGGGTAAAATTTTTTTCGTAGGTCTTTTAGTTTATACTTTTCGTTCAAGTTATTATTTAGTTAATTTTTGAGTAATGCGCGATATGTGTGTGAGGCATCCCACCGCCCACTTAAGGGTGAAGGCAGCGTTGTGCTATGTATGAATGTATGGATGTATGGTTGTAATAGTTGGTTAATGGTAAGACGAACCCCCAGGCGGTTGGGATACTACTGGACGCGGTAGATGGTCGGGTCATTGCTGGACGGCGAGACGTACGCAGAAGTTGATCGAGTATGTTGGGGTCACTAATGGACGGTGATACGTAACACAGTAGTTGACCAAGCATGGACTGGACGATGAGACGTAACGCAGTGCCATTGCTGAGTTGGGTATGCAACCGGACGGCGAGACGTAACGCGGTTGACATACTAGGGTAGGGACACCGGACGACGAGGCGTAACGTGGTGGTCTCTGGTATTGATGTCTATGAGTGAAGGATATAAGTAGAGAACTTCTATGAGTTCAAGATAAAAGTAGACAACTTCTATAAGCTAGTGGAAAGAATAATTATTCTAGAGCAGAAAGCGAAAACGACTTTCGTGCTAGGAAGGAAACTCTAATAACTTGTTTAGTAGGGATTTTGCATAGGCGAAGACCTTAGGAAGTAATGACGAGACTGACCCCTTCTCACTCACAAGGTGTAGAAAGGGGAAAAGGATGCATCTATCAGGAGGAGGTTACCCGAGGAGAGTAGTCGCGACAATCTTGAAGATGTCACCTAGATCTGGGTAACGAGATGTGACCTTCTATTATGTTTGTCTTTTGTTCATGTCTTAATGAGTATAGTAGGAAACTCAAGGATTGTGTTCATTGTTTTGTTGCTTTGGATTGAGGTCACCCAAGTGTTTAGGGCATTTCTCTTGAGAATCTTAAACATTGTTGTTGTTGATTTTGGGTTATGACTTGAAAACCTATTTTGGGTTGCTCCGGAGTTAGGTAACAAGTACGTGGAACAGGAGCGAGAGCGAGAGCGGGAGAGAGAGCGTTAGAACGTTAATTTAAGACGAACTTATAATTGAGAGCGTCAAGAGAGCGTTATTATTTTATTAATTTTATATTTTAATATACTCATGAGTTATTACTACATATGATATGATATACTTTTCTCTATTATATCTCCACCATCGAGACCACTTTTATCTAACCCCTCTATCATCTTTCTCTTCTCTCTGTTCTCCAACCCAGAAACAGAGTTAGCTCAAACTTCCGTACTTCAACTTCCATTTTCTCTTCATCGTCTCTTACATGCAATCCCATTTCTAGTTTTATCACTTAGTCTTATAAATCATGGTTAATTCTGTTTACTCCCAAATCACATCAATAAGGTAGACCATGGATTTACGGTGCCGGTGAGATAAAGAGGCGAGAGCAGCTCTTTCTCTTTATTCTTTACTCAAATTCTTATTTCTCAATTTCCATTATGATTCTACCAATTTTAATTGAAATGTCCCTCCCCTAGAATTGTCATCTACCAATTTTTGGCTTTCTCGATTTCACAAGCCAGATCTTTCTAATAGACCGAGAATAGCCAGTAGAAGAGTGAGATCACGATAAGGCGACCTAACCCGGAAGCAGAAGAGATTTGTCTTGTGACAAATCGACTCAAGAGGTGATTCAACTGGATGAACGATGAGAAGAAGGGGAGGAAAGTCAGTCTTGGCCTTCTGAGTTCAGGAATACACCTCGCTACCAGAATTCCAAATCGCCCTCTCACCGAAAATAATTCACGAATTTTCCGCGAACTCTACAAAATGCTCGTTTTGACGATTTGGAGCGGGATTGTGGAGGGTGGAGTGGCGAATTAGGTGACCTAACTCCGAAGTAAACAGTTTGTTGTTTTAGTTATGGTTTGGTTTTCAAAAAGGATTTGGTCGTTACATTTTGGTATCAGAGCCGACATTATTTTGTTTCTTGGTCTCCAAGAAATACTGGAGTGACGATCTGGGGTTTAAAAGGTTTAGTTTTAAAGGAAAATGGAAATTTCAAGAAAAATGGTTGGCCAACCGATTTATAAAGGTTTATAGCGTCCCCAGTATACTCAAGCATGATAAGACAAAATAAATGTGGTTCTAATAAGGTTACTACTTACTTGCAGAGCAAGTAACGCTAATGTTAACCACGTGGCACCTAGGCCACCCCCGAATTATGTGGCTTCCCGGAGGCGAGGAGTGGTGGATTTTGATGGGGACCGCTTGAAGGATGTTAGTGAAGTAGAGAAATGGCCGGCGAAGGTCACGCGTACATTGATTGAAATGAGAGCAGATGAAGAGGACAGGGTGCTACTGACAGTATCCCTGCTCTAGGATTCAGCATACGATTGGTGGTGCACCCAGCCAAGTAGCCAAGAGGACCCACCAGCTATCACTTGGCCAGAGCTAGTGCGGGTGTTTCGGGATCACTATGTACCAGAGGCCTATCGACTGGGAGAATAGAGGGAATTTTTGCTAATCAAGCAGAGATGGGGCGATGAAGGAGAGGAGGGTGTTGTAGAGTACACCTCCAGGTTCGAGAAGCTGCTGTCCTACAAGGGACCTCAGTTCCAAGATGCGGCAGCTCAGCGTGCCCACTATTTAAAGAGTTTGAAGCCTGCCCTTAAGAAGCAGTTGAGCATGCTGGCGTCGAATAGTCGGGAGGAGATTTATCAGGCAACTCTTCGGATAGAGAGGGTTAACACAACTGTGCATGAAGAAGGGATACAACGAGAGGGAAGCAAGAGAAAGGCAAGTAGCATGCTAGAGTGGTCCGACCAGCCCAGTTAGTACAGGAGGAGGCCGAGCGGTACCAGTAGCTTTGGGGGTACTCAGAGTCAGACCGACCTGTTCAAACTTTCAGTAATAGAGGTCTCTGCAACCAGTGTGGGCGGGATCACTTAGGGGAGTCCCCCATGGTCTTCTATAACTGTAACGAGACTGGCCATTTTGCCATGGAATGCCCCTGGAGAGGGACAAGGGATGGCTCAGTCCGAGCAGTGTGTCCGGGGTGGTGGAGTGAGGACTCACGCAGGACCACAGTTTGGAGGCCAGCCAAACCGCTCCTACTAGAGCTAGGGAGGACGCACCGGGCGGTTCGACCGCACTGATTGGGACAGAGATCAGGGGCCTCCAGCAGGGGGACGGTCGAGGTTATTTGCAATGCGAGG